GGCACGAGATGAGTTTGTGCACAGATGGAAGGCTGACAGGCAGGTAGGCCATCCAGTTACTTTAGCGGCTAAAATGATTGGTCGTGCTTTTTACAGTACTACGGCTTCCACAGATGAAATTTTTTTATGGATTTTTGTCAAAGCACTTAAGATATTCATTGCTATCGGGATGTTCAGAGCATTCCATGGAATATAACAAAAACTGTATATCGAGCCGGTTTCTCAAACGTACCTACCCCACCTTTAAGGCAAAAAGATGAGTTTGGATTGAATGCATCGACTGATAGACTGTCTGACGTCCATAGGGAGGTTATTCCAGGGGAAAGGAGTAAGATAGGAAATGTCCATCTGTCGTTAGAGATACATCAATGTATGATCTGACCATGGATACAGTATATAAAGAGAACTGCAGCGTTGAAAATGGGGCCCTGTTCATAAGTGTTATTAACTGTCTGACTGGATGTTGGTTAAGCCCTCAAGGTTGCATTACTCCATCATCGGCTGTCACTCGTAATCGAGTATGACTGTCCTCCTTCTTGGTCCTTGTGGGTCTTCAGGTGGGCGTAGAGGCCGATCCTGGACCCGATTATTCTTGTGCAATGTGGACATGGGAATGTAGTGGTGGAGGGTTTGGGTTGGACCTGTTTGGTGGTTGCTCTCTCCTTCTGCGCTTGTCTTGTGCAGCATGGCAGAGGTCATCATTATATAGTGCAGCACCCTCACGGACAAGGTTTCTCCAGGTCGCCCTGTCTGTTGCCATGTCTTCCCAAGCTTTTAGGTCTATGTGGCACTTCTTTAGGTTTGTTTTTATGTTATCTTTGTACCTCTTCTTTTGGCCTCCAGGGGCCCGTTTCCCTTTAACAAGCTGGGAATAAAGGACTTGTTTTGGGAGGCGAGAGTCAGGCATGCGGATAACATGGCCAGTCCATCTGAGCTGGTTTTGGGCAATGGTGGCAGTGATGGTGGGAATGTCAGCCTCCTTCAGGACGCTGGTGTTAGTGCGCCGATCCTCCCAGCTAATCCTGAGGATTTTTCGGAGGGATCTCTGATGGTATGCCTCAAGTGCCTTTAAGTGCCTGCTGTCAGAGTCCTGCATCGGGTCGGGTACAGCATTTTCAATAACACTTCCTCAAGAGCGAAATCCAACGTCTGGGAGGCTTTTGGTGTCATCCTAGAATCTAGATGAAGAAAATAACCAACATCCCACGCTTTTTGAGACAAATATGCAACTGCGCGTGTTAATAATTGCACGTTTTCACTGCTCATATATAGGTTATGCGGGTTCGGGTCGGGTTGCGGATCTTGTGCCGACGGGTCGGGTCGGGTTGCGGAACTAATTGGCAATATGTGCGGGTAGCGGGGCGGGTTCGGTATTGCACGTCGCGGGTGCGGGGCGGGAGCGGGTCTTGAAAATCAGACCCGTGGCGTGCAGGACTCTGCCTGCTGTATGTGGTCCAGGCTTCTGATCCATACAGAAGAGTGGGGAGCACCACAGCTTTATAGACCAAGATGTTGGTCTTTGCTTGGAGGTCACGGTTCTCAAAGACTCTCTTACTTAGCCTTGAGAAAGCCCCACTGGCACAGCTGAGGCGATGGTGTATTTCATCATCAATAACAGATTTTGATGATAGGAGGCTGCCAAGGTATGGGAAGTAGTCCACATTTTCCAGTCTAATGTTGTCAATGGAGATGTTTGGGGGTAGGATAGGCGTACTGCTGTTTGGTGGTGGAGGATTTGGGTCTTTTTTTATGTTGATGGCTAGACCAAGCTGTTTGTATGCTTTCGCAAAGGCGGATACTCTGTAGGTCCTCTTCCGAGAGGGCTACAAGGGCGTTGTCGTCTGCATACTGCAGCTCCATGATCGATATGGTGGTGGTTTGACCTTTAGCCCTGAAACAGTTGATGTTGAGGAGTTGGCCGTCAGTTCTGTACATGATGTTGACTCCCTGGGGCAGATGCTTGCTTGTGAGATGTACTCCTGTGTCAACCCTGTGTCAACCCTGTGTCAACCCGGAAGGGTTCAGTTTCGTCTCCACTGCCACTGAGTACCATGGCTGACATATTGTCATGCAGCAGTCTCAGTACCCGGACGTATTTTTCTGGGCAGCCAATCTTTGCCAGTACCAGCCAGAGGGCCTGATGGTTCACTGTGTCGAAGGCTTTGGTGAGTTCGATGAAGGCCATGTATAATGGTTGATTTTGTTCCCGGCATTTTTCTTGCAGTTGGCGAGTAGTGAAAATCATGTCTGTAGTGTCTCTGTTTGGGCGAAATCCACTCTGAGACTCAGGAAGGATGCTTTCTGACAGGGGGGTGAGTCTGTTGGCCAACACCCGAGCTAGGGCTTTCCCTAAGGTGGACAAGAGAGAAATGCCACGGTAATTTCCGCAGTCTGCCCTGTCTCCCTTCTAAAATATGGAGACAATTAAGGCATCCCTAAGCTGTGCAGGGATTTCCTCTTCTTCCCAGATTTTGAGAAGCAGGGCATGGATGTGCTTAAGAAGATCGGGTCCGCCTTTCTTCAGGACTTCTGCTGGGATGCCGTCGGGCCCAGCAGCCTTGTTGTTTTTCATATTCTTAATGGCATCCAGCACCTCACCCAGGCTGGGTGGTTCTCCCATGCTTTCAACTATGGGCTGTTGAGGGAGTTGGTCAAGAGCCTCCATCTCAGGAATGGTGTCCCTGTTTAAGAGGTCCTTATAGTGCTCTTTCCACCTGTTTGCTATTGCATCCTTGTCCTTCAGAAGCAAGAGCCCATCTTTAGAGCGAAGGGGGGTTAGGCGGCGATAGCTGGGACCATATACCGCTCTTGTGGCATCAAATAATCCTCTTGTATCACCAGAGTCAGCAAGCTGTTGGATCTCCAGAGCCTTCTTTGTCCACCACTGGTTCTTCAGTTTCCTAACTTGCGTTTGGACGGCTGCCTTCGCTTTGGCATGGGCTGCTCTTTTCACCTTGCAGTGGATGTTATTTTGCCAGGTGATGAAAGTTTGCCGCTTGATGTCAATGAGTTGCTGAATCTCGGTGTCATTCTCATCATACCAGTCTTGATGTCTACGCTTTTTTTGACCAAGAATGTTTTTGCAGGAGTTCATGATGGCAGGAGAAAGTGTGCCCCAGTGTTTTTCAGTATCCTCCGGATACTGTTTGGGCAAGGCTGCACTAAGAGCATCCTGCAGCTGTTGTTGGTAGGTGGTGTCACCCAACAGGTCGATGTTAAGCTTTGGCCAGCTCTGTCTTTTCTGCATCCTTCTTTTCCGCATTAAGCGGATATACATGATGGAGCGAATGAGGCGGTGGTCAGTCCAGCAGTCATCTGCACTTGTCATTGCTCTGGTGTTAAGGACATCACGGCGGTCTTTGGAGCGGACAATGACGTAATCAATGAGATGCCATAGTTTGGAGCGAGGATGCATCCATGATGTTTTGAACTTGGTATTTTGACGGAAAAGTGTGTTGGTGATGACCAGGTTGTGCTCTGAGCACTTGGTTAGCAGTAGTATGCCATTGGAGTTTGTGTTTCCAACCCCTTCTCTCCCCAGCGTGCCTCTCCATAGGTGGAGGTTTCGTCCCACTCTGGCATTGAAATCTCCAAGCAGGATGAACTTGTCCTCCTTGGGGACTTCAGATAGAATTTTGTCCACGTCAGCATAGAAGGCCTCCTTTACTTCATCCTGTGCATCAAGCATTGGGGCGTAGGCACTAATAACGGTGGCCATCTGACTGCGATTACTACAGTGTGTATGAAACAAAAAAGTAAAGGTATTGAGAGTGCCAGATGTAATAAAGCAAAAAATAAGGTAAGACCACGTTTGTGAAATCCTGGTTGCAGAGACGGAGGGACAGGGACAGAAACTACTTCAGGGCATGTGCTGTCTGTGACCTCGGGCAGCATGCATTATATAGTATAAGATGAATTAAGCCATGCAACATTTATGTATATATATGCTGTGTATATGTGTGTGGGGGACAGAAAGACCTAGTTCGACACAACATATATATTAGGTTTGTAACACGACCGACAGATCTTAAGATCTCTAATGCTGAAAACGCTTGAAATAAAGATTTAAAGGTCACCTATTATGCAAAATCCACTGTCAATCAACATGTGTCCCCTCTGTGTAAAGAGACTCTGAAAGTTTCAGGAACAAAGATTCTCTCTTTTTGTCCTGATCCATTTCTATAAAAAGCTGTCTGAAAATGAGCTGATCAGATTTTGGCCACTTTATGATGTCATAACGATTTGTTGGCTTGTGTAACCATTAGCCAATCAGCAACCAAGGTAACCCCCCCCCTCCTACATTATCACCTGAATCTCCTCCTAGAGCACCATTGTGTTCTTTGTGACCAAATCTCTCTCAGAGGGGCGTGGGGAGTGGCTCCTTATTTTCATCTAAAGCAGGGGTCTTCAACTAAAATTCAACAAGGTCCAGTTAGAGAAAATCTCCCCATGCAAAGGTCCGGAACATCAAAATGTCTAACTTGCTTCATGAATTAGTGTGATATATATATTGAAGTGTCCTGTAGCTTTATCAACGTCTGCATGTAACTGCCAATCAAATAAAGAAAGTACAATTCATAAACAACAATATTTATTGTCAATTAACATTACTTAAATACTGTGGATATGTGTAATGTTCCTCTCGGGCTGCATTTACAAATAAAATAGAGAAAATAAATAAAATAGCTTTTGAAAATATGTCCATCTTAAAAGTGCTTAATTTTAGATAAATAAAATAAAGTGTAGCAGCAGCTTGAGTGTCCCTTTTTCTTTGTTAATCGTTTCACATCATGACTTAACAGTTTCAGCCGATTATAGAACAATATCAGTCTTTACACATCATAACAATTGAACAGTTTTAAAGTTTCTCTTTCTTTCCCTCTTATATTGCAGTCCCTCACTCGCTTTTTTTAAATTCATTGTGAGAATTGAGCTCGAGCTTGTCCTGCCAGGAGTTTGTAAATCTGGGCTGACATGGAGTCAGGGCTATTCTCATACCCATGCAGGTGCTCATTGGTTACAGCAGTGGTTATCAAAGTGGGGGGCATGACAAAGAGGCATGACAGGGGGGGCGCGAGAGACCAGGAGGAAAAATGGTTATTAAAAAAAAAAAAAAAGATTATTAAAAAAAAAAAAAATCATATTTTTAAAAATTATTGATTCGAAAATAATATGATACAGTACTATTACGTCTGGGTCTCTGTGTTTCATTAAAGCTCGGCTCTGTGTGTGTGTGTGTGTGTGTGTGTGTGTGGAACGAGGCACACGTTTATATGATCATTATAGTTATAAAAAAATAAGAGAATACATGAAAAACAGCTATGAAATACTATATGACAGTAAAACAAGAATAAAGTTTAAAAGAGTGATTTATAAAATATCCATAAAGAAATAGTATGAGAGAGAGATGTATCCATAGATCTCTTCATTTTGCTCTCAAAGTGCACCAGATTGATGCTTTCAACTTCAATATTTAAAAATCTTCCCGGGGGAGCATGCCCCCGGACCCCCCTATGTGAGGTCCACACACCACCTATAAAAATAGCACTTTACCCCTGCTTACACCTATATGCCGAGACTTGATATCGAGCCTTCATTGTAACAGTTGCGGGTACACTGTGTGTATGCGTGGGGAGTGTTGCAGTAGAAAATTCCACTGTAGCGACCGGTACATTAATGGGAAACCCTAAATGTTTGAGCACGCTCTATGAAAGGTCAAGCTACCCCACAGCACCCCCAAAAGAAGTCTCTGGCGCCGCCACTGAGCCTGACTATTTGTGTTGGGGGGGCCCGACTTTTTTTTTTCTCCAAAGGGGGGGCCTGACCGAAAAAGTTTGAGAACCACTGGGTTACATTGATGCAAACACAGACCAAAAGAGAGAACTATTCGAAGCAGAAAAAAAACAGCGTAATATACCATCTGACAAAGGCCTGTGCTATAATGCTTCAATTAACTGGCTATTCTTTATAATATACTCTGATCAATAGGAGACAGAGATGTTAAGTTAAAAATCAAGGGTTTTTATTATTATTTACAGCAGGGGTGGGGAACCTTTTTCCTTTCAATTTTTACAACATCCTCCGAGGGTCGTACAAATTATGGAACTCAATCTCTGCTTAAAAAAACTAAAATCACAGCCCATTCATTTCACCTTTCTTTCATGCTGTGCAAAGAAAAAGCAACCTCTGAATCCAGATATCTCACCATGACTCGCGCATGCATGCATGTGCACGGTGTGGCATGACCACCAAAACAGAAAGATATGGACACAAGATGTGTGCAAATGTATTTAGTATCCTATCCATGTGAACACGATTTAAGTGGGGGAGGGACCAAACCTCCTCTAGGGGGGTCCGGGGGCATGCTCCCCTGGGAAGATTTTTTTTTAAATATTGAAGTTAAAAGCATCAATCTGGTACACTTTGAGAGCAACATTAAGAGATCTATGGATACATCTCTCAACACCCATATGAAACAGAACTGTAAGCATATTTTTCTTTTGGATATTTTACAAATCACTCCCCTTTTAAACTCTATTCTTGTTATTTTTAACAACTTTTTTTGTTACTGTCATATAGTATTTTATACCTGTTTTTCATTTAGTCTCATTAATAACTATAATGATCATATCAAGTTGTGCCTTAACCTCACTGAGCTGAGGTTATTTGAGCCTCTCAGGCGAGAGCTCTCTTCCACCTGGTTGTAGAAAAGCTCTTTAAATTCGTTAGCATAGCTAGCTAACCAGATGCTAATAACAACAGATCGCCACTGTGCTTACAACTAAAGACACAGCCACGCAAACACTGCGGCATGTGTACGGCTCCTTATGGGTATTGCAATATTTGAAGGGCTGGAGCGGGGTTCCGGTGCTCTCTGAGCACTCCTTTCAGACGAGACATATACCACGTGAAGACACGTTACGCTCGTGTTGTGTTCAAGGAACCTGTCCTTGGCCAGGAAAAACAGGTACTCGCTTGTTTAATTATTTTTGCGGTCTAGATTTCTTCTTCTTTTTTGAAGTGAGAAGTTGTCCGTCAGTCGGACTGACGGACGGACTCCCCAAAACGAAAACTCTTCGGTTCTTCACGAATAACACAAGTCACCCAAATCAGCGTTAAAAAAGCGGGAGGCGCCGAAAAATCCCCTATTAATGTATTGATTATAGCTCCGGGTCCGTATAGGTCGGCGTCTGGGTCCGGATCCGGACCGCGGTCCGCCTGTTGCCGACCCCTGATCTAAAGTAACAGACAGAGAATCAGCACTTTTGAAACAGGGCTGAAACAGAGGGGATTATGGGATGCTGCAATGATCTGTTTGGTGTTTGGAGCCAAACACCTCAGAGACATGTTTTGTATATATCTGAGAACTATAATATATTAATGAAAAACAGTATAATAGGGGACCTTTAATGCGTAATAATGACTCTTAATTATTAGAATCCAGGTAAGCAAAATATAGTTTCCATAATTAGCTAACGGTTTTGTCCCTTTCTGTGTCCAAGGTGCGTCAGTCTTCTCTGAGGTCGTTCATCGGAGTGGTTCCCCAGGACACGGTTCTCTTCAACAACACAATCCGCACCAACATTCGCTACAGCCGAGTCACAGCGAGCGACGAGGAGGTGGAGCGAGCTGCCATGGCTGCCGACATACACACCAGGATACTGGAGCTACCTCAGGGTCAGGCTGGGGTGTGTGAATGATGATAATGATGGAAATGTTTATTTTGTTTGACTTTGATGATGGCTGAAGAATACCTTTAACAGGACATTTGCTAAGGATGGCAACATTTACACATCCTTGAGTCAAGTAGAAGTACAGATACTCGTGTTTTAAAATACTCTGGTAAAAGTAGAAGAACTGACTAAACTTCTTTACTCAAGTAAAAGTAAAGAGGCTTTGAAATGTACTTAAGTTAAAAGTACCCATAACTAGCAGCTGTTTTAAAGAGTACCTGACCTCCCTTTATATTAAGAGAACAATAATGTCATTGTTAGCTAATGAATGTTTCCATGCTGAACAACGGCAACATGACAACGTTTTCATTGGTCCCTCTTCTTTAGAGAAGACCAGGAAATTATGGATACACGGATCGTGTTCAAATCAATAGGCACGCAATGACTCTAAATAATAATGATCACGCACCAAACACACATTCAAACTAAAGGAACCAGCCTGTTTGGAAAATGTAAGAAGTAGAAAGTACAGGTATTTGTGTTCAAAATGTAAGAAGTAAAAGTAAAAAGTCGTCAGAAAAATAAGTAGTTGAGTAAAGTACTGATACCAGAAAAATGTACTTAAGTACAGTAACAAAGTATTTGTACTCCACTACTTCACACCTCTGACATTTGCCAATTTGAAAGTTTAAATATTTAGATGCAGGTGGGTAATGATGATAATAATGGAGATGATGGCATTATGTCCAATCAGGATATGACACGGAGGTGGGGGAGCGAGGTCTGAAGCTCAGCGGGGGGGAGAAGCAGAGAGTGGCGATCGCTCGAACCATACTGAAAGAACCTCGGATCATTCTGCTGGACGAGGTGAGGAAACAGTGGGATTACCACACTTCAATACTTGCTTTATAACTAAATGTTACTTTTAGACAAGAAGGTTAAACAACGGCAGCATTACTCAGGAACATTAAGGGTTAAAATATTCACTACAGGTTAGGTCGAGGCAGTATCATTCCAGGCCAAAAGGGAAATATCTTGACAGAAACGAAAGATTGCAACACTGAATATATTGTATTTATAATCTTACTTTATATCCGGTCAGTGTCCGGCAGTGGCTCAGTCAATATGGAGTGTGGACTGCTACTTGGAGAGGTCCCAGTTCACCTCCTGCCCCTGCCGTGGTGCCCTTGAGCAAGGCACCGGACTTAGCTGCGTTCAAGTAGTATTTAATCACATGATACATATTACTTACACTAATTTGTACACATTATACTGTGTGTTGTTTACTCCACCAGGCCACGTCTTCACTGGACACCCAGACTGAGAGGAACATCCAGGCTTCACTGGCCGAGGTCTGCACCAACAGGACGACTGTCGTGGTCGCACACAGGTGACAATACTACCAAGATATGTCGTTTAACTGGGAAAACCCTAATAAGTTCCATGTTTTTACTTGATCAGCAGCCACCATTTCTGAGTGTCAACTAAGACACCAATTGGTGCAAATCATAGCCACTGGATGCCATACATTAGATTAGATTTGACTCAGAACAGCTACTGAGATAATGAAATACAGTGTTGAACTAAGATACAAAGTCAATTAACCTTCCAAAAATAAAAATGTAAAGACTCTGTAGCCAAACAAGGAGCAAATGTAGACACAGCTTTGCATACTAACAGGCTGACACTGACAATTTTAACATGATGATGTTTAGCCGTTTTTTTGTGCACTATCAGTCCAGACTAGAACAAGCAAAGGTCAGTTTTCTCGTGGCGCTCGAGGAAAGTGAGCAGATGAACAAAGTCACTGGGGTACATCCTCTGAGGACCATGAATGTCTGCACAAAAGGTCATAGAAACTCATTCAATTCAACCAAGCAATGTCCGCCCTCCATGGATGTATTTATGTAACTGTTGCAAGCAGTGACTCCATAATTGTCGGCTTATAAATTGTATAACGATGTTTACAAGCCAAACACTCTGTTTTCTTTGTCTACACATCAACACTTAAAATTGAGTTTCTGAAAATCTTTACCCGACTGGAGTTTAACAAAAGCTCTGTTTTCAGTGATCTTGAACACTCAAGACTCAATATTACAAACATACCCACGTTCGTGTGGCTCACAAACACGGATTTTGCCAAGGACACGACAGTGGCCTCTAACAATGTGATTACAATGGTCAGATGAAGGTCAGATGAAGAGATGAAAGGAGAAGGATGTGTGATAGATGTGGTGAAAGAGAAACAGGATTAGATGCAGACACAAAGAGAGGGATGGAGAGATTAAATGAAAAGCTGATTGGAGGACATGAAGTGACGTGTGATGACAGGTCAACAAAAGTAAAACAAACAGATGTCTGGTTATTAATCTGTCTGAGTGATATTGAAAAAGACTTGAAAGGCTCTGACCGTTCCATCATTGAAACGCATCAGGAGTGAAGTAGCCTCTTGTGCTGAATCTGCCATGTTTTTTCATGAGTACAATGGGTTCTTTTTCTTCTTGTTCAACACAAACATGTTTTTATTGTAGGGAAGAAGAAATGTTAAAAGAGTGAATTTGTAATTTACACTACAAATGGATAACTAGAAGAACAATATTTAGTTTCTCATATTTACACATTTGATCATTACCAGGATCTCTTTCCAAATGACCAAATAAGTTAATCTTCTTCAACAATAAGATCTATGGTGTGTTTCATTTTGCTAAGCCGATGCCTGAACTAAAACGCAATAACAATTTGGTTAATCAGCTAAAAATATATAATTTAAAGCATCATTAAGTTCTTTGTAGACTCTGAAATCTTCATGTAACCTAAGATAAATCTTTACTTATACTGTAAGAGCTATTGGTTGAAAGTACAATATGTTATTTATTTTTCCAAGTGTCCCACACAGAAGCTGTCTACTGTATATTGATCCTTGATTCCAAGCAAACAACATGTCTGAAGGATATTCTTTTTTTAGTTTAAAATGTTTTTGGTGAGGTGAGACTTCTGGTTCAAGAAATATATATGTATTCTCTTTCAATGTGTCCAACACTATGATTGAGAACCAAATACCTGCATAACTAACCTTCCCATCAACCTCAGCTGTACTTTGTGCTATTTATCAAATGCTAGCATACATGTTGAACTAAGTTGGTGAACATTGTAAACAAAATACCAGCTAATCTTGTGCCATGTTAGCATTGGGATTGTCTAAATACAGCTTCACAGAGCTGTCGTCATGGCTGTTGACTTGTTTTGTTATTACACTGAACAAAAATATAAATGCAACACTTTTGTTTTTGCTCCCATTTTTCATGAGATGAACTCAAAGATCTAAAACATTTTCTATATACACAAAATAACCATTTCTCTCAAATATTGTTCACAAATCTGAAAATATCTGTGATAGTGAGCACTTTTCCTTTGCCGAGATAATCCATCCCACCTCACAGGTGTGGCATATCAAGATGCTGATTAGACAGCATGATTATTGCACAGGTATGCCTTAGGCTGGCCACAATAAAAGGCCACTCTAAAATGTTCAGTTTTATCACACAGCACAATGCCACAGATGTCGCAAGTTTTGAGGGAGCGTGCAATTGCCATGCTGACAGCAGGAATGTCCACCAGAGCTGTTGCCTGTGAATTGAATGTTCATTTCTCTGCCATAAGCCGTCTCCAAAGGCGTTTCAGGGAATTTGGCAGTACATCCAACCGGCCTCACAACCGCAGACCACGTGTAACCACACCAGCCCAGGACCTCCACATCCAGCATGTTCACCTCCAAGATCGTCTGAGACCAGCCACTCGGACAGCTGCTGCAACAATCGGTTTGCATAACCAAAGAATTTCTGCACAAACTGTCAGAAACCGTCTCAGGGAAGCTCATCTGCATGCTCGTCGTCCTCATCGGGGTCTCGACCTGACTCCGGTTCGTCGTCGTAACCGACTTGAGTGGGCAAATGCTCACATTCGATGGCGTCTGGCATGTTGGAAAGGTGTTCTCTTCACGGATGAATCCCGGTTTTCACTGTTCAGGGCAGACGGCAGACAGCGTGTGTGGCGTCGTGTGGGTGAGCGGTTTTCTGATGTCAATGTTGTGAATCGAGTGGCCCATGGTGGTGGTGGGGTTATGGTATGGGCAGGCGTATGTTATGGACGACGAACACAGGTGCATTTTATTGATGGCATTGTGAATGCACAGAGATACCGTGACGAGATCCTGAGGCCCATTGTTGTGCCATTCATCCACGACCATCACCTCATGTTGCAGCATGATAATGCACAGCATGTTGCAAGGATATGTACACAATTCCTGGAGGCTGAAAACATCCCAGTTCTTGCATGGCCAGCATACTCACCGGACATGTCACCCATTGAGCATGTTTGGGATGCTCTGGATCGGCGTATACGACAGCGTGTTCCAGTTCCTGCCAATATCCAGCAACTTGGCACAGCCATTGAAGAGGAGTGGACCAACATTCCACAGGCCACAATCAACAACCTGATCAACTCTATGCGAAGGAGATGTGTTGCACTGCGTGAGGCAAATGGTGGTCACACCAGATACTGACTGGTTTTCGGACCCCCCCAGACCCCCCCAATAAAGCAAAAATGCACGTTTCAGAGTGGCCTTTTATTGTGGCCAGCCTAAGGCACACCTGTGCAATAATCATGCTGTCTAATCAGCATCTTGATATGCCACACCTGTGAGGTGGGATGGATTATCTCGGCAAAGGAGAAGTGCTCACTATCACAGATTTTTTCAGATTTGTGAACAATATTTGAGAGAAATGGTTATTTTGTGTATATAAAAAATGTTTTAGATCTTTGAGTTCATCTCGTGAGAAATGGGAGCAAAAACAAAAGTGTTGCATTTATATTTTTGTTCAGTGTATAATGTTGTGGATGCATTTATACCCAGCAAACACAATGAAGATTGTTTACAGATGTTGACTGGGACTAATCATCTGTGACTAGTAATCTCACCAGCTGGGCTGTGAGGTCATTTCTTTATAATCTGCCTTTTTTAATTATCTGTATAGTGCCAGTTTTGCTGTTCAAGTCTTTCTCTCAGACCTCACATTGACCTGCAGTCTTTGAACAAGTTGATCCACCAGCTTAATAATCTTTCAATAGCAGCAGCAGATGGTGTGTGTGTGTGTGTGTGTGTGTGTGTGTGTGTGTGTGTGTGTGTGTGTGTGTGTGTGTGTGTGTGTGTGTGTGTGTGTGTGTGTGTGTGTGTGTGTGTGTGTGTGTGTGTGTGTGTGTGTGTGTGTGTGTGTGTGTGTGTGTGTGTGTGTGTGTGTGTGTGTGTGTGTGTGTGTGTGTGTGTGGTGTGTGTGTGTGTGTGTGTGTGTGTGTGTGTGTGTGTGTGTGTGTGTGTGTGTGTGTGTGTGTGTGTGTGTGTGTGTGTTATCATTGTATCTAAGGCCTAGTTGATCAAGTCAATAGACAATCCTGATCCTACAAGGAATCACAACAGACAGGTCATGATTTCACTTTGCAGGGTGAGTCTGTAATCAACTTCTGTTATTGGATGGGCTGAATGTTTTTCTTCTCCTGAACATGATGAACTCCTCAACTTGTTATCAGTAGGTAGGTGGTAGTGATGTGCAATGACTTCGTCGAAAACATAAAGTTGTGTTTTGCTTAAAAGCAGGTCTTAGTTCTAGAATAGGATTAATTGAATGTGGAGGTCAGCAGAATGATACTTTCTTTCTCTTTGACCATGGGTTGTATATAAAAGTAATTTAATTTGTCCCAGAGAGGCATTTCTACTGCTGTTTTGTTTTGTAATAGTAAAATCATGATATGTAAAGCGTTAAGGAAAATGGTGAAGACCTCAAGCTGAAACTCACCTCAACAGTTTATAAGTTTAACAGGATTTCTTAACATCAGACTTGTAGTCTAATGACAGACTTTCCTTGGTTGGCGTCAGTATGCCAATGAGCCAGCATGCATGTATGTTTTGCCTAGAAATATGTTTCACTGCATCCCAGCCAAGAATAGGAAGATATGAAGTATAAAGTGTATTCTGAAAATGACCTTAAAAACCAGACATACCCTCAGTGCTGCCTGCATGTAAACACACTGGGTTGTTCTTCTTGGTTTAAAGCCTGAATCAGAGGTTACAAAAGCTATGACGTGTTCAGTCTCTGGGGAGAGATATTTCTACCTTTGACCGAGGTTTTCTATCAAATATTGAAGGTGGACGTCCAAAGATAGCCTTGGTGACACTAAATCAGAGTGGTGGCTCTGCTGAAGCTTGAAGTGACATTCAGCAGTTTGGAGAGGCATGAACTCTATGGTTGAAAAACCTTTTTTTGTGTCATGGGCATGGGTATAAATACTTCCTGGGATGAGGGCCACATGTCTTTACATTACATTGCATTTAGCTGACGCTTTTATCCAAAGCGACTTACAATAAGTGCGTTCGACCAACAAAATACAAACTTGAAGAAAACAGAATCATATAAGTACATCAGGTTTCATAGAGCAACAACATTTCAAGTGCTACTCAACTGGCTTTAGGTAAGCCAGTCCTTTATTAGTATATAAGTGCTTTGTTAATAGTTATATCGCTCGAAGTGGAGTCGTCTCCCTCAAGAAGCTCCAGGTTGCTTATAATGATTGTTTGCGTATACTGCTTGGAAAACCAAGGTGGTGCAGTGCAAGTGAAATGTTTTGTAATGCACGAGTCAACACGTTCCATGCTCTCTTGAGAAATCTGATGTACAAATTCATCTGTCGATTGAATGTTTCTCATAACTCTGTCATTATGCTGCTTTCAAATCCGTGTCTCAGTGCGGTACGATGCCTGTCACCTCTGTGGAAACATTGGTATAACTGCCTTTTTTAATTCATATTTGAGTGTTGTATGTCTTTTAATAATGGACCAAGAGTCTCTTCAAATAAAGCTGATGATAATGACAAATCATGTTTAGATCCATACATCTAATCTTCACGTGTTTTGTTTATTTACTGAAGAAGAAGATCGAATATGGCACGGATACAAACATATAGATATCTTACAACACCATTGAAGACATTCTCCCCATTTGGTCACATTACAAAGTTGATTATGCTGACAGACAGTTTGATTATTGTGCCTTTAATCAGAGAATGGTCATAAACATGAACTTCAATAATTTATAGGTTCATTAAGAGTTCTCCAACCCAGAGCAACATACTCAGCTGTGTGTGTGTGTCGGCTTGTTGCACATGTCAGAGGTAAAGACAGTGTGTGTTTGTGTTTCTCCAAGTGATTACAAATGAATTAACATGTATTTCACTTTTTATTTTTTATTTAATTTGAGCTGTTCGTGTCAATAGCAAAACTACCGTACTATTCAGAAAATGATTTGTATGTCCTAATACATAGTTAGCATTAGCATCTTGGTAGCTGAAACGACACAAACCAAAACATTTACTCTTTTTGTGTTGTGCAGGTTGTCCACTATTGTCGGCGCAGACCAGATCCTGGTGGTCGACAACGGACAGATAGCGGAGAGAGGAAGGTAAGGTTATCTGTTGGGGATGTTATCTTGTGCTTGTGTGACACACCTGAACGATTCTGTGTCTCCTAAGTGCTTGCAAATTCGTTATCTGTAGATCAAAACCTAAGAGTGTGGTTTTGTGTGTGACCCTTAAACCCTTCTGGTGCCTTTCTCAACCCCAGAGGCTGATGGACAACCCCATATCACACACACACACACACACACACACACACACACACACACACACACAATGGAGCTGCCACTTAACTGTTGATGCGTACAGTCTTTTGATATAGGAGCTGGTAATGAAGACTTCCTTTCTCACACATGCACGCTTGCACTCACACTCACATAGGCAGTTGGAAGCAAGAGGAGACACAAGTGGTATTTTCCTCTTTCTAAAGTTTAAATTGATCATCCAGATGAATATATTGTCCATATTATTACTCAGGTATTGATAACAGCAGAGAGGAGTTAGTCACATATGGCACTGTGGTTGATGGTAAACATCTGCAGGGACTTTGTTTGTCCCTGCAGGCATGTGTGGGGAACACCAACCAAAAAGCATCCATCTTTTGATCGACATTGTGATGTAAACACAAGATGGGCTCATTGAACCTCCGGTGTCAAAATACACCGATTTCTGCCACAAAGTGTGGGAGTGAAACAGAGACAGGAAGAGGCCTCATCCCGTCCTCAGGCTTTCCCTGTGCTTAACATTCTTTACGAGGACTACATCGGCGCTAAGATGGCTAATATTTAAAATGCTGTTTGCTTATGAATACAACCTGTGTCGAAGCTTACATGTACACATTATACAAGTGTTTTTGTAGCGATCAACAACACCAACAATGTCTTCTAGGGCAGACACAGCCAAGTAAGTCTGCTTGGATAGTTCATATTTTGTACAATCTCCGCCGGTTTGGGTTATGGGAGTGTGATGATACATTTTTGGAAAACTCAAAGGTTACATTCAGATCATTTATATGGCAGCAAAAAACGATTTTCTATGTGAAGATATAGTGGAGTAATGGCGTCTCGAACAGAGAATGATGTCACACTCACTGTGTGTGTGTTGCCCTGCTGCTGATAACGCTGTTACGACTAAAGGCATTGTTGTGCCATCGCCAATTTGAGAACTATGTGGAGGCAATCCCTCAATCATTGATATAATCTGTATTTTTAGCCCCTTTACGATCACAAAAGCCTTAGCGTCTCCTTTTTCAACTTTTCTCACATTTTCTGTCCTCAGGCGGACATTGGCCACTTCTTCCCCTCTTTTCCTCCAATGTTTCTCTTTATTTCCCCTACTTGTTCCTAATTATATATCTGCATTTCCACTTATCTCTTAGTTTCCTCCACATCAACCTGTTCCTACTTCTCTATTTCTGACCCTCGCAGTGTTTCTCTCTCTGTCTCTCGCTCTCTTTCCGTCTGGCATTCCAGACAGGAACACACTTGTGGTTTTACTAATTCATAGTAAAGTTGGCTAGTAGAATTGTATACAGCTAAACTTTATTTTAAAGCAGCTCTGAAGTTACAAGACATTATGAGTGACCCATATTATCCTCTGCCTGCTTTTCATTTCTATTCCTTTTTTGTTAAAGCTAAATTCCTCCCTTTTTCACCCTTTTTGTTGATCACAATAACAGCAAACATTAACAGGTATTATCAGAAAAAGTGATTTTTACAGATTCATTACATTTGTGAAGACAATTTGTATTGGCAATACCAAATGTGCAGGCATGTACCATCAATGCATGCTTAGTCATGTAAAAAATACCATGCCATACCAGCTGGCTGGCTATGTTGTGATTAGTCAACCACTTAGAGATGTCCCGCCCCTTAGCCTATCAAGTACAATGTGTTGGAGTGCTAGCCGAGACAAGATCGAGTGTAACTTAGTGATGTCATTATGTTACAGAAGTAAAGAAAGGCAAGGCAAGTTTATTTATATAGCACCTTTCAACACAAGGCAATTCAAGGTGCTTTACAAAAATGAAAGACATTCAGACAAAGGCATTTAAAATCAGTCATTAAGATGAAAAGATAATAAAAAAAAACATTAAAAGAAAAAGTACATGAATAAAAGTACATCAATAAAAAGTTACAGTGCAGTTTAAGATGTGAATAGTTCAATTAAAAGCAGCGACAAAAAGAAAAGTCTTCAGCTTGGATTTAAAAGTAGTCAGAGTTGCAGCGGACCGGCAGGTTTCTGGGAGTTTGTTCCAGATATTTGGAGCATAATAACTGAACGCTGCTTCTCCATGTTTAGTTCTGACTCTGGGGACAGAAAGCTGACCAGTCCCTGAAGACCTGAGAGATCTGGATGGTTCATAATTTAGCAGGAGGTCAGAAATGTATTTTGGGCCTAAACCATTCAGTGCTTTATAAACCAGCAGCAGTATTTTGAAATCTATTCTTTGACACACAGGAAGCCAGTGTAAAGACTTCAGAACAGGAGTGATGTGATCCACTTTCTTAGTGTTAGTGAGGACTCGAGCAGCGGCGTTCTGAATCAGCTGCAGCTTCCTAATAGATTTTTTAGTGAGACCTGTGAAGACACCATTACAGTAGTCCAGTCTACTGAAGATAAAAGCATGGACAAGTTTTTCCAAATCCCGCCATGACATTAGTCACAGCAGGATTTGGATTTGGAAAAAAAATTGGATTTGGAAAAGAAAATTAGTCAAGAAAGGAGTCTAATAGAGTGTTTCAGGCAAGGGGGGGGGGGGTGTGGGAGAGAAACTCGCTCTGGAGGGAACACAGGGATTTTAGCATTTGTAGACCGTTAACATGCGCAAAAACCTATATAACACGCTACAGGAAAGGGAGAACCCCAAAAAGCATAACAGGGCCTCTTTTTTGGGATGATTGGCCCTCATGAGCTACTCCTCTGACTTTTTAATGTTTTTATCCACATTCTACATTTATGTTGGAAGATCAGAATGTTGATACCAGAAATGTTTTCTTTCTTGTCTCATCCTATTGTCTTCCTCTGTCCAGACACGAGGAGCTGCTGATGCAGGGAGGTCTGTACGCAGCCATGTGGAAGAAACAGCAGAAAACTCACGACACGCAAACAGAAACACAGACGGAGAATCAGACTCAGGACACAATGCGCTGATCTATGTTTTTATTCCATACTCATAGTTATACACATACTTGATTTCTCTCATATGTGATGTTTTGTCATTTCATGTATCTGCACCCACTGTTGACTCTGCAGAAAGAGAAACCATGCAGTTGGTCACAAAATGATAACATTGACACTGTGAGATCATCTGGTCTTTGAAACCTGGTCTTGTGTTCCCTTGCAAATAAACTGCCTTTTCAATTACGGTTCAAGGAAAAATATTGTCTCTCATGTGAAACCAAAAGTTAACATTCCCTTTTGTTAATTTACATTTTAACTTAAATAACAATACAAAAGTTCTAATTTTAAAGGGGACCTATCATGCAAAATGCACTTTGTGATGTATTTTATACTTAAATATGTGTCCCCGGTGGGTCGGGGAACTCACGCAGCGTCAGAAAATAAAACCCTCTCTCTTTTCCTCCGTACCCAAATCTTTTAAAAACGGGTGTACAACGAGCGGATACAGATTTGCTGCCGATCTGACGTCAAATCGGCAGCGGACTAACAGAAAATTGCTATCAGAAACAATGCCTGACGTGTTTTGGACGTAATCTCCTCTTTGTTTACATTAGCAAGCCTCGCTAACACTCAGGGCTAACCTGTACTGCAGAGCACATGTGTTTTTAAAAAGCAGGAAATAAAAATAGGAACTCACCTTGTGGTAAACCCGCAAGAGAAAAAGCATTTGAGCTCCATACTGTTTCAGAAATAATCCTTGATGTGGTTTAGAACAGGATGGCGTTTTATCACAGCAAAATGTAACTTTAGCTCCGGGAGAATTCTGATCAGGCATTAGCTCCGCCTCCTCTTTTTTTTTTTTTAAGCTAAGGACCCAAAATCCGCGTTTCTCTTACAGGGCTGCAATAGAGGGGTTTGAGCAGTATGAAGCATGGCTACAATGGGTGAACTGTTTGGTATTTTAAGCAAAAAACTTCACAGATATGTTTTGTATAGGTATGGCCCTACAATATATGTTTCCAATATAGCATGATAGGTCCACTTTAAGCTAAACCCGGATGTTTTATCAAACCTAATCAGTAGTTTTTATGCATTTTTCATTTGTTTTATTTGAGTTTGCCAGTCAAATGACTCAGGGCATAAAGCAATTTAGTTGTATACAATTATTGTGAAATGTATTTAAGCTGTATATAAAAGCCCAAATGTCCAAACCATTTTGATCCGACATTAAACAGACCAAATCCTACAAGCTCCCTACTGCAAATGTCGAATTAAGCATACACTGCTGCAAACTGTTGCATATGAATGTAGGAAACAACTAAAGCTGCAGCAAACTGTAAAGTTAGCCAACTAACAAACAGCAATTCAGAAGATTTAACTAAAAGTAAAAGTGAAAGGTTCCCTGCAGCAGAAGGACCCGGCAGTGGTCAGGTGTCCTGGTTGTGAAGACTCCACCTGAGCCATTAAAGCTAAAGTGATTATGTTACTGAGATTGTTTTGGTGAAAACATCCTGGATGGGCTGATATGTGGTGTCAAAGGTTACTGTTTAGAGTACAACTATATCAGCAGCCAGAGGGCAAGAAAGAGGAAGACAGATGGAGAATGGGTTGTAGCTAGAACTTTTGTTAGTTAGCAATAAAAGACCCTGAAACAAAAACTGTCACAACGTTTCTCAGTAAATGTATAATACTTTTTTAAACTGCACTACACCAGAACCTACATAAAGCCTCTTTCAGACGTGAACCAAGTCATTTTATGTTGGTTTAAAGGGGACCTATCATCCAAAATGCACTTTTTGATGTCTTTTACACATAAAGATGTGTCCCCGGTGTGTCGGGGAACTCACTCAGCGTCAGAAAATAAAACTCTCTCTCTTTTCCTCCGTACCCAAATCTCTAAAAACCGGGCTACAACGGAGCTGATCCAGATTTGCGTCCGATATGACGTAATATCGGAAATGTAGGCTGGCTTTACGCCCACGGCCCTATCAGAAACAATGCCCGACTGTTTTGGACGTAATGTGGTCGGTGCATGTTTACATTAGCATCGCTAACACTCAGAGCTAACCTGTACTGGAGAGCATGTGTGTGAAAAAGCAGGAAATAAAAAGGAACTCAACCTTGTGGTATAACCGGCAAGAGAGAAAGCCTTTGAGCTCCAAACTGTTTCAGAGATAATCCTTGATAATCCATGATATGGCGTTTCATCAAGGCAGTATTTAGTTTAGACAGTAGCTGCCGGGTCCCGCATGAGCTCAGACCCCTCCTTTTTTTTTATCAATTATTTTTTGTTTTAAAGATTTATACCCCAAATCAGCACTTTTGAAACAGGAAGTGAAATAGAGGGATATGAGGCATGGCTAGCATGGGTGATCTGTTTGGTATTTTGAGCAAAACACTTCATAGACATGTTTTTTATATATTTGTATATATCTGAAGCATGAAAGGTGCACTTTAATGTTAACTTTACCGTCATTACGTTTGTAAGTAGAAACAAAAAAATATTTGAATAATTTCTTATCACAAAATAAGCCTATCTGTCGCGTTGTTCATAGACCGGATGCAACAGCCTCGGTTAAGGCCTGTTAGAGACATTTGGGACAGACACGATTCAAACTATTTCCCGTTTCCAACTCGTCAAAATGGCAGCTTAGTCAGTGGCCATTGCTTCAAATACAACATTTCAACATTTTACAACAAGTCAGTTTATCGCTTGCCTTAGTGACCAGTTGTTGGTATTACTGATGATACGCATTGTCAATATAATAAGAGATTATAGGAAAAATATACAAATATTACAGTTTGTTGAATGTCATTAAAGGTAAGAATGGAGAAACCAGATCGAGTAATTTGAAAGTACACAACCGAAAAAAATCTGCCCCTTCCTTCAGACTTCCTTACAGAGCCCCTCCTCCAACACACACGAACGCGCACATGACCAATGAGGGCACGAGATAAATGTGTGCATGAGATGGAAGGCTGACAGGTAGGTAGGCCATCCAATTATCTGCCGCGGGCCGAGGCAGATGATTGGTCGTGCTTTTTACAGCGCCACGGCTTCCACAGATGAAATGTTTGTATATATTTATTGTCAAAGCTTTTAATTTATTCATTGCTACCGGGATGTTAAGAGCATTCCATGGAATATAACAAAAATAAGTGAATTACCTACCCTACATTTAAGGCTATCAAATTTGAATTGGTAATTTCAAGTCAGACATTGGACGCTACAATTATAAACTCAAAGTGTCTGTTCCACGCAGCAGCAGCAGCAGCAAGTCAGGGTCCTCTCATTGTGCGCATACAATATCTGAGTTCTCAGGAAACTACTTGGCCAAGTTTAGGAAAATACCTTTATTTGGGTTTAAATTGGTACCCATGTTACGTTGTTGGCTACACTTCATACAAGACTTAAGTTAACAATGTAAATAACCTGAATGTGTTATTAGCCAAATAAATAAATCCCATGTACTTCACTGGTTCTAAATGTACTTTATTGACTAGATTTCATGTATTGCAGCATGCAACTAGATATACTCTGTACAGATCATCACACAAACAGTGAATATGCACATGTCAACTTGTCGGACACAGTTCTGGCCCAACATTTCCCACACAATTGGGAGAAAGTTGTTCTCCCCATCAGCTTTCATCTCTTTAATATCTCTAATGTATAACAGATCAGTACAACTGGACAGACATCAGTACAAAACACAACAGGTAGGGTACGTACACTGAGGCGTGGTTTACAGAATATTGAAAGGTTACAGATGGAGACATGACAGGAGGTAATGTACAGACAAATATCACAAAGTACCACCGAAGGTATAGGACAACATGTATGTTGTTAGTGTGGGGATGGGTCAATATTGTGCATGTTTGATGTGTTGCCTGCCTACAGTATGTGATGGAGCAAACACACACTTGTGCCCTTATTGAAATGCCATAGCCAGTCTGTGTAGCAGTGAGGGCAGTCTCAGTGCTTCATATCTTAATCATGATCCCTGCCAAACAGTTTCTTCCATCTCTTTGTCTCTTCCTTAGGTTAGGACAAAACAAATCAAATATTTGCGTTGTTGTTATTAGGAATTCCGTGTGCACAGATTCTAAATTCACAAAACTCACTTATATTTAAGGGTTTTGTCAGCTCAAATGTCTTTCTTTGAATAGAGATAGAAAGAAACTGACAGCCAAAAAAGGAAGAGAAAGAGGACAGAAAGAAAGATGAAAAGTGATGGATGAAGTAAGGAAGTGAATGCCAATACAATAAACAGGATGAAATTGAATAAGGAAGAGAAGGAGAGAGGAGGGGAATGGAGAAGAGGAGGGTATGAGGTTAGAGGAGGACATCCCAAAAGGAAAGGAGCTTGTATGCAAAGGACCATATGAGGAGAAGAGTGAAACAAGAAAGGAAGAACATAAGGAAGAAGAAATAACACTTGAAGAAAAAGAAAAAAATAATGATTGGCTCTGAAGTCTTAAAGTGCCGAGGAGATGTACACACATGCACACACACACTGACCCAAGCTTAAGCTAGCAATGGTCTGCGAGAGTGGTTGTCCTTTTGCTGAACTCACAAACACACACATACACACGCACACAAACACACACTCAAACTGTTCACATGGTGTTCAGGACACTCCCGTTGGGATGGGCTGTCATCGCCATGGTTGCTTTCCGAGTTAGGACAAAAAACACACTCAAACACACACGCACACACACCAGTGTCCACCAAGCACACCGAAAATATAGTCCTAAGATAACACACACTGGCAAATATGTATGTTTGTACATTTTTATATGTTCTGTGTGTATCCAAAATGATTTATCTCTCTATCTCCCCATTCGCAGTCAGTGTCAGTCATAGCCGTGGGAACATGTTTCAAATGGGGGGTGCTGTGGGGATAACACCAGGGCCGGTTTTGACCAATTTGCTGCCCTATGCAAGATTTTAGCTGGCAATGAAAAACCTCTACAAAAGACCACTACACTACAAACAGAGAAACGTATTGATATGGTGGACAGCTTATATAAAAAGGCTTCAAATGTATTTAGTATTACATGAACATGTTTTAATTGGGGAGTGGACTTCACATCCTCTAGGGGGGGTCCGGGGTGCCCCCCCCGGGAAGATTTGTTTTAACATTTTAAAGTAAAATGGTTCAATCTGGTGCACTTTGAGCACCCAATTACTAGAGACTGATCTAGGGGATACAACTCTAAAACACCCGTATGAAAAAGATCGGTTTGCATTTTAA